TAAATTTATTAGTAGTAGATCTAGTGGCAGAGTTGGGTGATCAAATCATTAAAAGGAGTGAACATTTTAGATATCTCGGGTCTATTGTTCCAAGTGATGGTGATATAGATGAGGATGTTGTTAGTATAATTCAAGTTGGATGGTTGAAGTGGGGGAATGCATCCGGCCTATTGCGTGATAGAAAAGTATGATGTGATAGAAAAGTATGACATAGACTCAAATAAAATTTTATAAGATGGTGTTGAGACCTGCAATACTCGTGATAGAAAAGTATGACATAGAATTAAATAAAATTTTATAAGATGGTGTTGAGACCCGCAATACTTTATGGCGCATAATGTTTGCCTATAAAAGAGAACCATAATACTAAGTGTTGCTGAGATGAGAATGCTTAGGTGGATGAATGACTTAACACTTAAAAGACAAAATGTGAATTGAATGTATCCGTGAAAGGGTTGGTGTAACTCTAGAGACAGATAAAATTAGATAAAGTCGTCTTAGATGGCTTGGTCACATTAAATTTCGACCATCTGATGATCTGATTAAGAGAGTAGATATTTTAGATTCAACTTATGCAAAGAAAGGTAGAGATATACCTAAAATACTTTGGCATGTTGTATAAAAATGAACTTAATTAATTAGAATTAAATGAAAATAAAACAGACAATAGGACACAATGGAGAAACAGGATTCAAGTAGCCGAGTAGCCGACCACACTTAATGGGATCAAGGCTTTATTGCAACTTGAGGGGGGAGTGTTAGAAAGTGTCAATCTACATGTTTGATTAGGAAGGAATTTATTTCATTCCCTCATAATATATCTCACCAATTTTATTTCTGTTTATTATATACTTGTTGTTTTTTCTATTTTTTTTCCTATTTGATGTGATTCCTAATTTAAAAGAATTATTATTTTCTATTTTGTGGACCGGAATGCCAACCGCATTATTATGCATATGTAATAAGGTATAATGCCATAGTAGAGAACCAAAAAATAAAATTATGTTCTAGAATTCTACAAAAATTAATGTCAAAGGCTTGAGGTGAGCAAGCACAGACCGAAGGTAACATGAATATCATGTAAGCTAGTGGATTGTAATCTCGATTCAAGGAACCAATCAATGCAATTGTCAATTGAGCTAAACCAAACAAGATAAAACTTCTGACAAGTTGGATTATAATTATGTAATGACACTGAGAGTTCTATAGAAGAATGACGCGAGATGTAAGACCTGTGATGAACGTGAGGATCGTAGCTCATAGGTCTGCAGATTCCAAAATCACAAAAAGAACAACCCAAGAATTTTGAATGTTCATATATTTCTTAATTTTTTAGCAAATTTTCTTCTTTCCTTCTTTCCCTTCTAGTTTTTTTTCCCCTATTTCTTTAGTTTCTAATTAGGCTACTTTCTTTAGAGGCCTTTATATAGGTTGCATTTTAGTTTTGAATTATTAAGTTTTTTTTTTAGTTTATGAATTTGAGAGTTTTCTCTCTTAAATTTGCTCTTCGGAGGGTACTTCGGAGTGCAATACCCGTTATTTTTGCAAGTGACGCGTCTTTAACTTGCACTCGGAGTGCAGTACCCGTTATTTTTGCAAGTGACGCGTCTTTAACTTGCTTAGTAATAGGTGGAGGAACCCCCTCTCCGTCCATGATTAGCCGATTCACTATTCGTCAGCTGATTTTTAGCCAAAAATAAGTTCAAGCTGATGTTTCAATGGGAAAACGTCGTTTATCCCTTCTGGTTTGTCGCTCAGCTGCCAGTACCTCGCTGAATCGCCATTGGATCGCTATTGCAGTTGGGACAGCAAAAATAAGTTCAAGCTGATGTTTCAATAGGAAAACGTCGTTTATCCCTTCCGGTTTGTCGCTCAGCTGCCAGTACCTCGCCGAATCGCCATTGGATCGCTATTGCAGTTGGGACAGCAGCCGACGATGTCGAACCTGCTGTCCCCTAGCAGATTTCAGCCGTCGAATACCTTATAGCTTTTCCAAATCTTACAAATCGCCTATATTTTCATTCGCTCGCTACTCCTCAACCGCTTTCCTGCTAAAACCTCTTCCAAGATACCTTCTAGTTGCCCTAGAATGGTATCATCTGGAATTAGAGCCCGACAAGCCGTAGATCTTTAGGGTTTTGTTTTTCTTGCCCAAAACCAAAATTCCACCCCGAAACCTTCCCTAAAAAATCTAAGCACCTGACCACCTTGAATGGCAGTCCTGCATATGCTAGAAACCAGATAGGGAGAAAATGATACAATGCCGCCTAGGAGAAATCCACAAAAAGGTGTCTAAGAGTTTACTATGGAGGATATGCAGCGAGAAATCCTCCAACTGCAACAGAGGCTTGTCGTATTCAAGATGAGACAATCTTGTGAAGTCACCTGCAGCCACAATTGTGACACTTCAGATTGAGAGAAGTGAATCCTTTCCACTAAGAAGTTTCTAGTAACGAAGAATCACTACCTTGACGATTCGACAAGAAACACTAGAAAAGCCAGGATCTTGGAGTAAAGATAGATTTACCGGATCACATGCATCCAAATGAGTTTATTGAGTGGTTTCAGACAATGGAGCAAGTTTTTGAGTACAAGGATGTTCTTCAGAACAAAAGAGTTAAATAGACAGTCACCAAGATTAGGAAAAATGCTTCGTATTGTGGGAGAACTTGAAGTGCATTCGGCAGTGAGAAGAAAATAGTGAGATTATTATGTGGTCCAAGATGAAAAGAGAGATGCAACACAAAAAACTTCCCTCACATTAACGACAAAAAATGTTCATAGAGCTCCACAATTTGCACCTGAGAGACACTTCTGTTGATTAGTAGACAACTGACTTTGATCAACTCATACAGAAATATGAGTTGGTGGAATCAAAGAAACATATAGTGACAAGATATCTTGGAGGATTGAGGTAATCTATCAGTAATGTGGTTTAGCTATAGTCATATTGGTCCCTAATTGTTGTGTAAACATTAACATTGAAGGTGGAGAAACAACAATACAACCAAGAGACGCCAGACTTTACAGGCATAACTTAACCTCTAGATCTGCTAGTAAGATTACACCCAGTGGAGCATCCCGATCAACCCGCATGAGGAAAAACCAATATAGAGTGGAGAAAAAATGGACATAACCAACAAGCTCAAATCAATTTCAGCTAGGAAGTACTTCAAGTGTCATAGTTTTGACCATATTATCTGATTGTTCAAACAAGAGGGTGATATCTTTACTGAGGAGGTTGCAGTAAAGAGGCAGGAGAAGATCTAGAGTAGAATAGAGAGGAGCACAAGCTACCCGTAGATGAGGCAGAGATGCTAGAAATTTGACAGGTCATTCAGATTGAGCCTAAGAGAGAGCAGCAGTGGTTCCACCACAACATATTTCATACCTGTTGCATCGTAATAGAAAAGAGTGCAACTTCATTATAGATGTAGGTAGTTGTGAAAATATAACATCTACATAGCTAGTGCATAGAATTAGCCTCACTACTCATAAGTATTATGAGCTATTCCCTAGCTTAATTGAAGGGGAGTAAGATCAACGTTGATAGAAGATATCTCGTGGAGTTTTTTATTGTAGATAAGTTCCAAAAGCAAGTTTGGCATGATGTGATGGTTATAGGTGCATGTCACATTCTATTAGGTTGTCCTTGGCAGTACAATAAATGTACATATCATGATTGCTACACATATTCTTTCACCAAAAATAGAAAGCGCGTTATATTCTTAACTTGGAAGACTCTAAAGTGTTTGAGGATGTGGAGCCTCCTGAGAGAAGCACCAACAGGACTATATTGGTTGTCCCAAAAGATAATGAGTTCGAGGAAACGATACCAGATACAACGCAACCCATCATTGAGAGCAATTCAGTATGTCATCACTTCAAATAGACATGGGAAATTTTTGAGCTAATTGTGGAAGGCCCTAAGGATTAAGCGGGTACTAAATTTTAGTTAAATTCAGTGATGCACTCAAGAACATATGCTTAGATAGGAATGGTGAACTGCTACTTTGAAATTCTCTGTAAGTATTTTATGGGAATCAATATCAAATAGTGGGATCAAGGTGTTATCGGAGACGAGGATGAATCCTGTCCTACCCGAGGAGAGTGATGCAGGACGCATGACAAACACGAGGATCGTGGCTCCCATTCATGTGGATACTGCAGTTACAGGAATAACAACACAAAAAATATGATTTTTCATGTATTTCTTATTTTTATAGTAGATTTTCTATTTTCATCTTTCCTTCCTAATTTTTTACTTTTTCTGTAGTTTCTAATTATGATATTTTCTCAATGGTCCTTTATATAGGTTGTATTATGTTTTGGAATTATTCAGTTTTTGTTGAGTTTATGAATTTGAGAGTTTTTTCTCTTAATATTGCTTTCCAGAGTGTTGTATCATTTCTTTTGTTCTTTTGCAAGTGGTGCATTTATAGCTTGCCAAGAAACAGGTTTTGGAAACCCCTCGCCATCTGGGACTGGCTGATTCGCGCAGCTGTCCAAGCTGCTCCTTCAGCAGCAAACCACCATTTCTCCCTTCCGGTTCGCTGTCTAGCCGCCCGTACCTCGCCGAATCGCCGTTGGATTGCTGTTTGCAGCCGGGACAGCCAACGATAATGTCAAACCTGCTGTGCCCCAGCAAATTTCAGCTGTCGAACATCTCATAGCTTTTCCAAGCCTCGCCAACTGACCATGCTTTCATTCCCTCGCTACTCCACTACCGTTCTCCCGGTTAATCCAGTCCTAGCTACATTCTAGATGTCGTAGAACTGTATCAAAAATCATAATTTCGGTGGAAATATAGAGCATAATGCAAGATGGATAACAAATGAAAGTTTCAACAAACAAAGATGCAAAAGAGAAAATTTCTTAGAACTGTATCAAAAATCATAATTTCGATGGAAATATAGAGCATAATGCAAGATGGAAAACAAATGTAAGTTTCAACAAACAAAGATGCAAAAGAGAAAATTTTACTCTATCTTTAACTTTACCTGTGCATTATATCCCAACCACGAGGAAGAAAACGTGGATTAACTCCTTCCACAAAAACTTGCCTCCACTTCTGACAAAACTGGAGTATACCATCTTCACCATGTTCTACGAGCAATCTCTTCACAACTTCTTTTCCATGATGTCCATGACCTAATAATGATAGTTTATTGGCACGAATGGAGGAATAACCTGGATCCGATTTGCAACTTTGAGCAGATTCAGCCCTTTGTTGTTCTGGAATGCCATTTCCATTGCTCTCACTGGAAGCACAAACATCTCTTCCTAAACCTTTTCTTTCCTCAATCTGTCTGGAGCTTTCATTAGAATTTTGTTCATCAACTGCCGGGATCCCTTCAATGACATGATTGGATATACATTTTAGCTCAAGATTAATCTCCATATTTCCTTTATCTTCTAATCTTTCCTCCAAGCTGCATTTGATGTTCTCTAACTGAGAATTTGATGGAGTTCCTAGAAGAGGAGATGAGTCATTTCCTTTAGAAACACAAGCTTTAACATGCCTCAAAGATAACCCTCTTTTCTTCTCGACACGTTTTCTTTCGTTAGGACTCATACCAACAAGTAAAGCTGTTTCAAGATCTTCTGGAAGTACTTCCCTTCCCCCGAAATATGCCTTAACAATCTGTCAAATAAATGTTACAAATAAATATATGCAAGCAAGAAAATCATAATCTGCAGCTAATACAGGAGGATTAAAAATATTTTTTATCAAACTGAGACATGATGCATCATTGGAGGTAGCCATTGAAGGATCCAGAGAGCACTGCTGAATGTTTTATAGTAAGGCTAACCATTTTAAAACTTTATTTTTGCAAGGTCAACCATTTTGAAATATCCTACATAAAGAGTTACTAATGTTGGCCAACTACATCAGCATGGTGATGGAGTGATGTTTGAAAGTCAAATTATAACAATGCATTCAAGAAAATTAGAAAACAATTCATGATTCAAAAAGATCAATTAGCTTGTGGAAGGTAAGTGACAGTCGATGACAAGAGGGAAGAAGATTTGATGCAACATAAAGTGGTTTGCCTTGGAAGAGAAAGGATCTATTAGCCTCAGATTAAAGGAGGAAGAAACTCTAGCACTAAGGGACTTGAAAAAACAAAATCACTCCCAACTTATTTCTTCAATTTATTCTGATGAAGTAATTGAAAAGTTTACATAGAATCAAGGATTCATCCAGATAATTCGGACAGTTGAATATGGTGGACTTCAACACAACGGAAAAACCTTCAATTAGTTTAACAAATCAAAATTTAAAATTAAAATTTATTCTAAGTTGATTTGCAAGAAGAAGTTTTTGCAATTAATTGAGTAAACAACGCATTTTAGATACGCAAAACTGCAGAAGTAAACAAAAAATAGTGATTACACATGCAGCATGATAAAAAAGGGGTAGTGGCAAAGCGAGGGGACATTTGGGATAACTTATTTTGATTTGAAACCAAATATATTTGATGATTTGAGAATATAATTATTGTTTGTAAAATAACTTAAAACATCTTAAATTATGGTTAGTGTTTTTAAAAATACAAATAAAAAATAATATTGACACCAAACAAACCCTAAATTAAAAACTGGCATTTCCATCATTCAAAGCTATGCACAACAACCATCTTGAAGTAGGGTGAGATCATGCGATAGAATTAAACAATAATTTGAATCAAATGGGGTAGCTGATCCTGAATTATGTTCTCAAGTCTTCAGCTGAAAACTTTTAATCCAGCCAAGTAATTAGCTTCTCTGTCATGTGGTGTCTCAAAGTTATGCCTCTATAACAAGAAACTGCCCCACATACATAAGGCGCTAATAAACACGCATAAAAATATCAGCAAAGGCAAAGTCCATAAGAAAATAAGGGGCATTATCCCAACCCATCCAATCTAATGTGAAAAATCAAGAAAATAGGGACTACTTAATTTTGTGAAAAAAGAATGTGAATTAAAACACAATACAATGTCGTGCACTTGCCAAGTATGGAGTTCTTTAGTTGAACGTAAAGAAAATGCAAAACATTTTTTTTGTATTTGATCTGATATAAAATGAATTCAAAGTTAAAAAAAAAAGGAAAAATGAACTCAATGTAAGGCTTGACGATGATAGTTGGCACTGGGGGACAATTGGCGGCTAGCGATGGTGACAATGACCAACAATGATAGGTAGCCAGCAACAGCAGCTATGGATGGCCAAAGGAGGCCAACAACAGGTTGGTTAGCCAATGACAGCAGCAGGCGACCACTAAGGGCCACAACAGAAAAGCTTCACTCTTGTAGTGTATTTGGAATTTGGCCAAGATCAAGTGAATTCCAAATACATTGAAAAAGAATTAAATGGTAAATTCACAATAATTCAAAATTTTACAATGCTTTCCTTTCTCATCCAGACCACTCAGCTAATATTTAAAAATCACACATTCCTTTTACCAAACCAAAAACAACCCTATAATCTAAGGAAAATTGTAGCATGCTAAGCAATGATTTGCGTTTAGTACATTGTCAACATCATCAAAATATATTTGTTGGCTGTAATTAACTTCATTCAACTCAAGCTTAACTCTTGTATCTATTGGATAAACCCCTCCGCCTCCTTCAAACACAAAATAGTATTATCGATGCACTGGCATGGATGCTAATCCAAGTGGCTCTCCAAAGTATCTACAAAATTAATCTAAGGATAAATTTGCATATATGAGTTAAGTTGGATTTAAAATATTATGTAATTCAGAATTTTCAAATAAGAAAGAGCAAAAAGGGGAGAGGAATGGTTTAAATAATCAAGGAAACTAATTTAATCCCTCCACAAAATTCTCCTCCTTGCGGGTTTGTACCTAGCTCTTTCAAGTGAGTTTGTGGTTCTGAGTCGAATGTTTAAATAAGAGATTAATCTTTTAGATAAGATACTACGTAGTACCCTCTTTTATGAGAACTTCATGATGAGGTTTTAGCTTTCCCATAGGCAAAAGTGCCTATGGCAAATCATCCCTCCCAATAATGAGAAATAATGATCAATTAAGACAAGTTGATAAGAGCTAATCACTTTGCGTATAATGATGGTAATTTTGATTTTAAATTAAGAAAATTCACTGCCATCAGCTTAGACCAGAGAGTTGGAGGAATGGTGATGAACCAAATTAAGTTCTCATATTTTTTCATTAGAATACTTAGTGAAAGGAGCTAAACAACCCAACTTAAACAAAGGATCTTTATCATCAACAATTGGTTGGATCATGCAATGAAAGTTTATAGATGGCCTATGGTAGATGTTTATCTAAGGAGAGAATTTGAAGTCAACCATAGCTAATGGAAAGTCTTCGTGCTTTATCAAGTGCATTTCATAATTCAACACACAAGTTATTTTAATCATTAGAGAATTTATGGGCTTTGGCCGCAATCATAATTCAATGATTAAATTTTATGGTGATCCATCTGATCATAATCATTCCCATTTTGTGGTGATCTACCAGGTGTGATTTTGCCATCAAATGGCACTATAAAAAAATGATTATGACTAAGACTGATTTGGTGGTTCACCGCAAAATGACACCAATAAATTATACTCATGATAAGAATCCATAAGTCCACCAATGGCTAAGTCCCGTAGTAGTGAATCATAAAGTGCACTTGATATGACACAAAGTCCTTTGTTAGCTACCAACGACTTAAAATTATCCCCGTATACAAATATCCACCACAATTCTACAAGGTACCCTTAAGGCAACACAATCCATGATTGCTGGCAAAAATTTCATAAATCATGTTAAGCTAAATGCCTACTAAAGCAATAATCATAAACATACTAATGGAACTATAAAGCATGGCGCATGACAAGGCAAACAATATGCTAAACATGGCACAAAGTTTTAAAAAATTTTGAATAAAAATACAACCACAAATGAAAAACTGTAAAAATAAAAAAAAACAAATTATCATGAAGTAAAAACAATAAAAATGATGCTTAAGCTCAAATACTCTACACTTTAACCACTCAAAATTCAAAATATTACAATTTTTCATTCAAAATATTAAATTAGTCATATGAAAAAAATCATTATTATCATAAATAAAAAAAAATCTTCACTTCCTTGAACATTGTCATTATTTCATAATCATAAACACGTTCACCGCTCTAATAATATCCATATTTAATTGTAATAATATTAAGCCTAAATAAAGATTTATTCTTTTTACCTTTAGATTGTTCCCGGATATTATAGTTAATTCCATAAAATCGGTAACTTTTGCAACAATACTTCATAGCAAATCTTCCTATCCATAAACTAATTTAATATCTTCATTTAAATCAGCATCTTTTTTTTTTTGTTTGCTAACTACTTATTATCATCATTTATCTCATTTAAAGAGATAAATTCAATAATTTCAGGATGCTTATATCTTTAAACCAAAGCCATATTATATTTCACAAAAATTAAATAATTAAAAAGATCATGATTCATCTTACTTTTTTAACAAAGAATTAATTTTTTTTTTAAATTGCTAAAGCATTTAGCTTTGTAATAATAATCAAAACATGAGAAGAAGCCGTAATAGAGAAGGTTGAGCCCAATACAAGGCTTGTAGGATAGGATCAATAGAAACTAAAAGCTAAATAATAAACAACATAAATATAATTTATAATCTTAAATCATTTATATTAAACAACTGATATTATTGAAGCTATACACAATATGATATTATCCATGCAAAACACAAATAGTGCGCTATTTTAACGCTTTGTGCCACACCATGAAAATGGCATAGGGTGCATCACATCACACTATGCGCCATAGCATGTACTATTTTGCACATATCTAGTGACATGTAAGGCACATATCTAGTGGCATGTAAGATGCATGCACATATCTACAGAACCTAATATTCTAATTAATTGTTATTTAGCATTCAGGATGATTGTAAGGCTAGTAAAGGGAAACTTGACCGGATTAAAATAGGAATCTTACATTGAAATTGAGATATAGCATGATATGGATACAGACTGTAAAAACACTTGAAAAGAAAAGAATGTAGATTTAACTTGAAAAGAAAAGAAGGCAGATTTAAGTGCATGCATTTCTATAACAACACTAATGCATAAAACATAAAAATAGCATAAAATAATAATAATAAAAAAGCATAAAAATAGCATTCATATATTACATACAGTGACAAAAATATACATATATATCCAAACAATAATAATATAGTTGGTAAGAATGCAAATAGAGTTCAATATAATAGGAGTGGCCAGTGTTACAATCACAAACTTTCTAAATTCGGAAAGAGCCAGTCATTTTGAATTTAAATATAACATGTAAGTCAACATAATATGGTGTCCAAATATTCACCTTGAAAACATTTGATGCGCAAGGGTCTTACAAAGACCGATATTTGCCCCTGAGGGTGCGGCTGCTAAAGACAAAACCCACATTTTAACTAATTGTTTGTTTTTTTGTAAGGTCAAAAGTGTGTTGCAGCAATGGGGGGTTTCAATCCCCTCATTCTACAAACAGGATGATGCTATCAACCATCAACGCAAACTCCTTAAAGCGAAATTGGCTGAAGCCTGCTGCTTTTGCTATGCGATTCATAATTGCTGGAGAGCTCGCAATGCTATGTGCCACAA